TGTTATGAAAGGGACAAGTTCACACTCGTATAAAACTGTAAAATCAATTTGCTCCATACTCGAAGTAAATAAAAAATTCTATATACGCGATTCACTCTATAATAAATTTTCTACTTACTGTTTATCCTATTTAGTTCTTTTAACTTTAAATTTTTTTTATGAGATATTTAAATAACAATTGAAAGTCTTAAATGTTAATTAAAACAAAATATAATTTAAAATAATATGTAAACATAATTTATTCAAAATAATATTATTAAAATATATTAATCAAAATTTGATGATTTGAATAGAATTAAAAATATATTAATTAGATATAGCGAGGCTGAGCAAAGCAAGGTGTAGGTAGTAAATTATTTAGTCCGCCTCTTATTTATTTTGAATTTTGTCACTTTATACTCATGTTCGTCTGTAACATATTAATTACTGGGTTTTACTCATCTTGTTGAAACATACACTTCTAATATATTGTAAATTTCTGTTTGGGAATATAAGGCGTCATAGTTTTATTGTTGAATGTGTTATGTTTTAAAATCTGAAGATTATGAGTTGCTTTAGAATTTTATCAAAGGAGACTTTTATAGGTAAAAATTGTTAGTGACAATTATGTAGCTACTATATAAATATTCCTGATTGAGTTAAAATCTTGATTATGTGAAATAAGACATAATGATCTCTTATTTATATATCTCTAAAACTTTTAGAAAAGGAGTTACTTTTTAACTTTATTGAAGATGATATTGAGGATTTTAGTTATAATAAAGAAATAATTTTTATATTTACTATGATAAGATGGACATTTCTAAGATAATTTTATGTAACAGTTCAAATACTGAACTTCGAATTTTATTAACGAAATTCAGGAGGAAATAAGAAAAATTTGTAAAATAAATTAAAATTAAAAATTTAAATTCCCTTCCCCTCCTAGGTTGCCACATCACCTAAATTAACCCACCTCACCACCCTTATCATTTTCCCACTATATAAACACTCAAACAACATATTTTCCTCTCTTTTAGTCCACCAAACAAAAAAAAAAAAAAAGAGGGAAGAAAGGGAAAGAAGAGCGAGAGTGTGTGTCGGGAAGCTTGGCACGACAAAGGGAAGAAGAAAAAAAAAAGGAGAGAAGACGCTAAGGGTGGGCTAACCACCGTGAGAGAGAGGCTTTCAGAATCGAAAGGAGTTGTAAAATCGAGACATTGTGGGTCCTTTTCCCTTGCAACCCGAACGTCCAAATGTGAGTTCTTCTTCTTCTTCTTCTTTCATGATTCCCTTTCCAAAACATTTTTGTTAACTTTAAAATTCTTATTAGGAATAAACAAAAGAACTTCTCTACTTGACTGCAAAATCAAGAGAGGATGAGCAACGAATTAGAAAACACTTAAGATTTTTATCAAATAGGTTCTAGGTGGAACAAAGAATGTTGAAGAACTGATATGATTTCATTATATCTAGCCAACAAATTTATACACCAAAGTCGCAACCATAAACTCACAAAATCAGCCACTAGATACCCATGATAAATACATCCCTAAAATATCTACAACCTATCCACTAGCCATAAGATTAGGACAATTAATTTAGATAATTAAAAACATAAAAGAGCATATGATTAAATAAAGAAAACATGTGACTTACTAATTTTTACATTATATTTAATACTCTCCCATAATGCATAAATTTACAATATGAAATCTGAATGCTTCCTTTTGCTACCAATTCTCTAATAAAATAATTTCGAGTATCAATATGTCCTGTGCGACTATGGTAAATAAGATTATTCGTCATGGTAATGGTAGATTGATTATCAAAATAGATCATAGTTGCCTATTGCTTTTGCTTTATGGCTTCTAAAATTATTTGCAATCATATTGTCTGATAAGCTGTTGAAGTTATAGTCATGTATTTAGCTTTCAATAATGATAAAGTTGTAGATGCTTGCTTCTTTGAGCTCCAAGATATGACATTTGATCCCAAACTAAAAATGTATCCCGTGGGTGTTTTTGTGATTATCAACATAACCTGCCCAATCACTATCTGAATATCTATGCAAATTCAAATTTCCAATGCTATAAAACAAAGCATATGAAGTTGTTCCTTTTGAGTATCTCAACACATTTTTTGCTGCCACATAGTGTATCTTGCTTGGTTTTTGCATAAACCTGGACAAAACACTAGTAACTTTCAAGATATCTGACCGAGTGTTAATGAGATTGAGTAGGCTTCCTACCAAGTTTTGATAAACATGAGCATCAACTTGTTCTTCATCGTCAACACTGAACTTTTAACTAGCTGTCATTGAGGTTTTCACCAAATTGCAATCTTGCAATTAAACTTGCTAAGAAGATCATTTGCATACTTTTGTTGACAAATGAAAAATCATGCATCACTTTGATATATTTTTAGTCTAAAAAAATAGTTCATCAAACCCAAATCAGTCATATTAAATTCTTCAATCATAAGCTTTTTGAAATCAACTAACAATGAAGCACTATTGCTAGTGTAGATTAAATTATCCACATGAAGGTAAACAATAAGTACTTTATCAACTCTCTTGCTTTCACATACAAGGTAGACTCACTAGTGCTTCTTTGAAAACTATTGTTGTTGAAATTTCTATCAATCCTTGCATATCAGACCCTTGGAGTTTACTTAAGACCATACAAAGCCTTTTCTCAATTTGTACATCTTTATCTCTTGCCCTTTCACTTTATGCCCCGGGGACTGCTTACATAGACACCCTTATCCAAAAAACCATTTAAGAAGGTTGATTCGATATCAAATTGATAGACACTCCACTTGTAATGTGAAGCTATAGCTAGAACAACCATTATGGTGTCAAATATTGCCATCGATGCAAATGTCTCTTTAAAGTCAATACCTTCACATTGCATGTAACCATGAGCAACTAGCCGTGCTTTATACTTCTGAAATGAGCCATCAGGTTTGTACTTTAATTTATAGACCCATTTCAATCCAACTATTTCTTTACCTTTAGGCAATTCAACAAGTTGTCATGTCTTGTTTCGTTCCAAGACATTCACTTCTTCATCCATAGCATCACACCATTCTTTTGAGCTTGCAGCATCTTTGAAGTAGCTAGGTTATTAAATTTGTGTAATTTGGAAACATTCAATCTTTATAAAATCTCCTTCAAAGATTCCCACTTCCTTGGAGGTGTATCATTTGAGCTTGAACTTGAAGATGCAATTGTTGATGGACTAGTTGTGCTAGATGGATTAGAAGGGTCTAAATTATTGCCATTATTATTCACCGGAGCTGCTAAGTATTATATGCATCATCAACAGCTTCAAACAATTCTGCACAACCTTGTTTCTCATACCAATTCCACTATTTTTAATTAGCCTTCTAGTGATAGGATCATAAAAACATTACCCTTTTGTTCAATCATTATAGCCCATAAATATGCATTTAACACTATTTTCATCAAGCTTGTGTCTTTTTTTAGAATGAATATGAACATAAGAAATACAATTAAAGACTTTAAAGTGGATTACCTTTGGTTTTCGTCCACTCCAAGCTTCAAAGAGTGTTTGAAAGGTTGATGTAGGGCTCCGATTAAGAAGATAAGCATCCGTGTGAATAGGTTCACCTCAAAAAAATCTTGGAAAAGCTTTTGCACGTAGCATGCAGTTTTCCATCTCCACTAAACTTCTATTCTTTCGCTTTACCACACTATTTTGTTAAGGTTTGTAACTAGATGTCAATTGTCTTTTAATGCCACAATCTTCATAAAAATCATTAAACTCAATTGAAACAAATTCACCTCCACGATCAGTTATGTGAATCTCTAAAGTATTCCTACTTTATTTCTCAATATAACTTTTAAACTTTTTAAAGACAGACACGGTGGCAAATTTTTCTTTTGCAAAATATACTCAAGTCGTCCTGCTATAATCATCAACAAATACAATAAAATATAAGCTGTTATTTATTGAAGGAATTCTCATAGGCCCACTAACATAAATCAACATTAACTAGCTCAATGGGACTAGATGCTCTCTTTGTCAATCTTTTTAGAAATGCATCTCGATGTTGTTTTCCAAACATATAGCTTATATATATATCATTCACATGTTGAATCACTGGCAAACCATCCACAAAGCTTGATTAGACAAGGATTTCAAGCTATTAAAGTTTAAATGCCTATTCATGTGGTGCCATAACTAGTCATTATCATCTAATGAGACTCTAAGTGCTTGATTTTTACACTCCAAAGAGAGAGGAAACATGTTGTTATTGTCCATAGACATTTTGAACAACATGTGCTTCTTGGTTTTGTTAGAAAAAATAGCACATGTCATATCGTCAAAAACAACAACATACCCTTCTTTTAGAAATTGTCTCACACTCAACAAGTTTGAATCCAAATAAGGTACAAAAAGAAAATCTTTAATGTAGCTGAAACTATTAAAATTTATCTTGAGAGTCCCCTTTCCACATGTTTACGAACAATATCATCTCTCATCTTCACTCACTTCTTGATTGTCTTATCTAAGCTGATGAAAACATTCAAATCTACTGTCATATGGTCATTGCAGCCGTTATCCATATACTAAATATTTGACAAACTTTTATTTTTAGAAACATAAACCATAAACAAGTTTTTGGTCTCATCTTCTTTTTCTTTCTCTTTGGTAAATTTTACTTGTTCAGCTTTGAGTCAATAAAACCTTGCAATATAACCAATTTTCTTACAAAAAAAA